ACTGATGAGAATTGTTAATGATACTGCTTTGCAAGGTCAATCATTTTGACAGAGTAGAGAAACAGTAGAAGAAAATTTTATGGATTTACAAATCTAGGAAAAAAGATGTAATTCAATAGGTGTTGCTTTTTTTTTTTTTAAAGTTAAGGGTAACAGCTAAAAAAAAACAGGTTGAAAGTGATGCCGCGTGATCACAGCAGTGACTCAAATAAGAGTTCACAGTATGTAAGACTTGTGAAGAGAAGCAGATGTGAAGATATTTTACTCTGTGGTGTGCTTTTGTCTAGTGCTTCAGTATCTGAAAAATGTTGACCAAACAGTTTCCTAAAAAAGGAGAGGGAAGTGATGGTAAATTTTCTATAGTGTTTTCAATATATGGAAGTAATGTGAATGGAAGTGATAATGATTTGGAGATTTGCAGTGCATAATAAAATGCTTTTAGAACCATTTATTTTTTAAATCCTACATGAATTAGATCAATTGTTATCAAAAGTGTGAGTACCAGTGAGCCAGTATATTGATCTGAAAACAAAGTCTGGGTTTGAATGGCGTTGACTTAAGGCAGGAAAGTGCCTTCATGTCTTTGTGGATGAGAGGAGCAAAAGCTTTGTGTGCGGATTTCTGTGAACAATCTGCAGCTCCCTCTGAATCTTGAATTTAGAGGCTCAGTGGTCTTTTGAGCAGTGCCCGCAGAGTGGAACACTGTCATCTTGCTTAGGACCTTTGTCATTTATAGAGCAGTGTGCTAAAAGCTAAGGAGAAATCACCACGACTCTTGTTTTTGGCTTGTGAATTGAAAGTGCATCTGTGTATCAACGCTGTGCTGTTTACAGTTGCTTCTTTACATAACTGAGACTTGAAAAGACCTCATCACAAGCCAGTTTCTTTAATTGTAGGGAGAGCTTTTATCTAAAGACTTGCAATATCTTTTACAATAGAAGCCTCTTAATTTCAGTGGATTCTTTGTCCAGTGATACATTCCAAAAGGGAAACACATTTGTTTGGGTATAAACAATAAAGAATGGTGTATGGAAAGTGGTATGTCCCTGTGGACGTTTTCTCACAGGAATGTAATTCTGCACCAAATCTCTTAAGAATTGTGTCACCGCTTTACTTGAGGAGATGACAACAATAACCATTAAAACTAAAGTATTGCCATCTATTGTTAGGCTGTTGTTCCTGTTTTGACCCGTTATTCTCTTTCAAAACCATTCTTTTCCTTCAACCTTTATTCTAATCTACTGTCTGAATATTTAAATAGGAAGCATATTGATCAAGATAATATGGATGTCCTTATGAGTCCCATTTATGATACTTCTATTATTTATGAAAACATACTCGTTAGCCCAACATTTTAATTTCTCTCCCACCAAGATATGTTAATTGCTTTATTCCCACTCTCCCACTGATGTAGAAAAGTAAATACATTATCCATGCTTATTACTTGTAAAGAACCCATTCAATTACTGCCATCTGTTTCCCTTTTTGCGGATATTTCAGGTTTTTGCTCCAGTTGTTTGTTGCTGTTGACCTTGCTCGTTTTGCAGATATGCTTTAGACAAACCTCAACTGCATTTCTCAGCAGGTTTTCTCTGTTCGTTTTTATAGCTGATCCTAAATGTGAGACTCCTAACTCTTACTGTTTCGGTTGTTTCTATAGCAACTAGATAGGTGGAGACAGCAGCATCACTTTGCTTCCCAGCTGGTGTTTTGTGTTCTCAGCAAGGGGAGAGTTTGAGGAAAATAGAGAGGGTTTTAATTGGGATGTAACTGGCTCAGAAGTTTAGTCCTTGTTGAGTTACCTCACCCTTTACTAAGAAGTTAATGATTTTAAGCAGGGCTTCTCAAACCTTCTGGAATAAAATTCTGTCTTGTCAGGAAACAGACATGATGTACTCTGCATCAGATTTTGGTTTCTTAGCTGCTTGAGCCTGCTTGTTCTACTCCATCTAAAACGCAGTTTTCATCTTCACGTGAATAGCAGCAGGATTTGTTTCAGGAATAGACTGGTGCTTATAACTTGTCTGTAACCTGAAAATACATGAGTACTGGGCTTTTTAAATTCTCTAATTCCCGCTTTTTAATCTATTTTTACAGCTGTCCAGTAACTATAGTATATGAGACTGTAATTCTATAGTAGACTATTAAGTGACTGTCTCTGACTAAAACGCTCCTACATATCCAGAGATCAGACTAACATGTTCTCCCTTTCTGAAAAAGCAGAAGTTGTCTGCATTCCCTTTAGCAGTCCTCTCATGACGGAAACATTCGTTACCTACTTTCTTGAGGTTCTCTGCAGCCAGATTAATCCCTCTGAAATAACCCAAAGTCTTTCCTCCATACCTGAGCACCTGAAGTTCTGCTGTGCTGCCGTGGTGCTGCTTGTTCAGCTGAGGCCCCGAGGAGAGAACCCTGCTCCCCAAGGGCTGGGTTGCTCTCCACGTGCCTTCTGTACCGTGAAGACTCTGGGGAGGTGAGGAGTTTTACTTTACAGTGTGTAAGCCATTATCATATAAAACAACTACAGAACACGTGATCTGTGTTCTAAGGTCCTCTGAAGCTGTTTATTTTTATTAAATTAAGATTCATGGGCAGAGGAGTTGTATATCATTTGTCTCATCTTGGAAAGATGGGTCCTATCAGGTTGGTGTTACTCTGAGTGGTTCAGCATACATATGGCTGAAAATGCTTTCCTAGTCAGAACAGCTCTGAGTAGCAAGAGGAACTCAGAAAGTCCTTATCTTTTTAGTAACTGGTAGCCAAGCAGCAATTTGTTCGTGTGGGAAATAAGCAGCAAGTTCAGGTGTGTTCTCCTTCTGCCTTAAGGAACGGGTTTGAGTGAAGGCTTCTCACCTCTCAGGAAGGTGCCGCAATGCAAGCTGTTACTGAGACGGGTCTGCAGATCAGTGGGGATCCTGCAGGCATCAGGATGCCGTCTATGGAATTCCTCTCATCTCCACATCGATGGTGGTGGTGCCTCAGGAGAAGGACTTGCTTTTTTGGAAATAAGACTAAGTTTTCCAATCTTTCACACTTTGTTCCTTCTCTGTTTTCCCTCTCTCTCTCTCCCTTCACAACTCTCACAGAGAGTTTCACAAGAGCTAATGGAGATGTAATCTGGTAAGTATGAATCAGCGTGATTCTCAGCTGGTTGCCTGAGCAGAGTTCTGATCCTCAGTGGATTAGATAGTAGTACAAATTTAAATTTTAAAAGGAACAACGCCTCTGGAAAACATTCTGGCTTAAAAATACATAAATGGACAAGTTCCTTGCTTCCATAGATTCTAAGCTAGTGTATCCCTGGTATGTGTAGGACCACTAAGTTGCTTAGGGGTTTGGGGTGTCTTTCTGAAGCTGAGGGAGCTGGAACTGTTCAGCCTCGAGAAGAGAAGGCTCGGGGGGGATCTTACCAATGTATATACATACCTGATAAGCAGAAGTAATAAAAACTGAGCCAGGCTCTTCTTAATGCGATCCAGTGACAGGACGAGAGACAATGGTCATAAATTAAATGCACGAAGAAACCTTTTTTTACTGTGAGGGTGGCCAAACACTGGGAGAGGTTTCACAGCAAGGCTGTGGAGTCTCCATCCCTGGAGGTGTTTAAGACCCAACTGGGCTCAGGCTTGAACAATCTGCTGTAGTTGACCCTGCTTTCCGTGTGAAGGGGGGTGGTGACTTGATGGTCCCTAGAGGTCCTTTCCAACCTGAACTGTTCTGTGAATGTTGTGGTTTATGTCAGCAGATAAAATAGTACATTTTTCTATGAAGAAACTGCTTCTTGAAGAATCTTGTAATATTACAGGTAAAATATGAATCTTAAGAGATGTTTTGTTTTGTGAATCCTGTTGTATCTGCTTAGATTTTAAATTTTGTCTTAGTGCATCTCCTGGTGTTATACAGTTTGTCTCTTGCAACGTAATTCTTCTATAGAAAAAAAACTAACCTAGAAATCAATGCAGTAACTACATTTTTATCAGCTCTGTTCACATGACAAATAAAAACATTTCATAGTGATTTCAGGCAAAGATCTATTGGAGTGTTTCTGATTCATACTCAACTCTCAATCAAGGTTACTAGGCAGAATTTTAGTGAAGAATTCCGACAAGGAAGCTGGAATTCTGCTGTCTTGGTTGGGCCGATTTTAGGTAAATAGCAGCAAATGTTAGGAACTGAGAAATTACATGAGATTCTGATGTTGGCTTTCTGGACATCTCTTGCAGATTCTTGAACAAATCCTGCTCAAGCAGACCTCTCCAGGCTTTAGGGATTTCAAATATAATTAATGTTCAGATGAACCTTCCAAAAATTCTGCTTTGAAACTTTGTTATGCATCTCTTCATTCAAATCACTTAAAGTTTTCGATCTTGTTTACTTCTTTACAGCTGTTAACACAATAGGGGAACAGCTTCCAAGGAATGACTACTGATGTCTGAGGGAACCTAGATCCTAGTTGCAGAACAATTGCTGTGATGTGATGTGCAGATTTTATATGGTGTTCACAAGCGGCTCATCATTCATATCATTCATACACTAAAACCAAGCATAGCTCTAAAAATCTCATTACATATGATAACAAAAGCAACTCTCATCTGTGCATTTACATACCAAGATTTGGCATAATTTTTAGTAAGTTATACTAGAAAAAGTAGTTCTTGCCAGGTTATTGATGTGTAGCATAAATGTTAGCCTGGTACAAAATTTTCCTGTAGAAGAAAATCTCACCAGTGAACGTGATCATTCTGGTAAAAATGCAAATTTAATTAAAGATTGCATTTCTTACTGTGAAATGTCAAAGTACTTCACTGTTTTTCTAATTGTGAAATTGGTAACTAGGGATAAAAACTAAATGTCCTCAAAATATAAAGCTATGGTAATTTTAGACTTGTAAGGGTATTTATAGAAATGTTTTCATTATAAAATAAATGTACATATTTTATTATTCTTGAAGATAATCATCAAAGGCTGGTCAACTAAATATTCTGCTTTTTGTTTTCCAGAAACCAGCAAACATTCTGGTAATGGGTGAAGGTCCTGAAAGAGGAAGAGTCAAAATAGGTAAACATTTTGAGAAAATTTCATTGCACTGCTAAGGGATTGCTTAAAAAAAAAATGCATCTTCACTGTAAGATAGAAACAAATCTTCATTATTCTTTGAGTGCATGTGTACACAACATCTAGTTCAATTTTGGATCTCATTCACTGAGTTTACAAGGTTAAGAGATTCCAAACATATTATTAGACTTTTATAAAGCTCGCCAAGGATATCTGGCGGGGATAAAAGCATCCGTAAGAAGCAAGAAAGTAATAAGCACATAGAACAATGGCTATGGCCAGGGTTCTTCTGACTTCTGCTATAATTAGTATAACATTCTTAATTATAAATTGCATTTGTTCTTAATTATTTTTATATAAAATAACATCAATGCATATGTTTGTAGAGGTCCAAAGGTTTGCTATGCAAAAGGCTATTCAGTGTCAAGGTGGGAAACAGATGTAGCTGTGATGGTCTTTATCGAAAATCTAATTACCTGTGCAGATCATAAGCCTTAGTCATGTGGATATAAACTCTTTTTTAATAAAGCATGTGGCAATCATCAAGAAAGAAGTGATGTGCTGGAACCTCTTTTCTATTCATTGACTTTTGTTGTATTTGAAAATGTTCAACTAACCATTTTTGATTCATAGGCTTGTATTAATATGGGTAACTGCCAGAAAAGTAACTTGACATTTCATAACTTTGGAAGCAGAGAGATCTAGGTGAAGTTGTGTAAAAGAGAAGTTTCAGACTTGGATTAAAATGTGTGGTTTTGAATATACACCTAAACTTTGTACTTTCCCATCTAGCATTTCTTAATGTTATTTACAATGTTGTCTCTAGAGAGAATTTTTGAGTTACATAAAATGAATGCTTACATTTAAAATACACCTCTGTAACAGTGTACGCTCACTGATTTCATTAATTCCTAGTTAAAAACTATTTCCTGATTCTGGACTTTGCTCCTCCAAATCAAATAGGAGGCATAGTTTGTAAAATAGTGCAAAATAATTTACACTGCAGTCGTTTTGGTTTTGTGCATTGGGTAAATATACAGCAGTCACAAGGGCTCACAGTTTTGTAAACTTATATAAAAATAGAAGAGTAAATGTACATTAGAGACCTACTGCTATTGACTTTAGTTAACCAGGTTTCTGTTACAGTTCTAGTGAAATAAATAGCCATCTGTGTTATGTAAATTTTTACAATACCATGATGAAAACACTTAAAAGTCAAACATCATCCTTCATACTCTTATAAATGAAGTAAATGGAATTTAGCCTTAGATGAATTTGGCCCAATATTGTTATGTGTGACCTGTTGCTTTCTTAGAAACTTTGATTTGTAAGTTTTAATGTTTTTGAGGGCTTGTTAGAATTGCTTTTTGGCAATACTGTTAAATTCTGTTTCATTTGTATTAAAATGTAAAACGTTCTCTTCTTTTCTTTTTTCCTTTCCTCCCCTGCCCCAGCTGATATGGGTTTTGCAAGATTGTTCAACTCACCTTTGAAGCCATTGGCAGACTTGGATCCAGTTGTGGTGACATTCTGGTACAGAGCTCCAGAGCTGTTACTTGGAGCCAGACATTACACAAAGGCCATTGGTAAGTTCTGTGTAAGACAGAGGTTTACCTGTAAGAGGGTAGCGTTATAGTAGGTGATCAACTGACCAGCTAGTTTTTTTTCCTGAAGTAGCAGCAGATGAAGTATGTTCCAATCCATAAAAGACTAATCCAGATGAAAACTTTCTAGGGACTGTGCTTATATTTTTTAATAAGAGTTAATGTTAGACATTTTAGATGTGCTGTTTGTTTTTAAAATAAAAGTATTTTTTGCATTGGCTTATGTGGTTTTCTGATGTGGGCTCAGAAATCTTGTAATCTTGTAAACCTTCAAGAGGGAAAGAGCTATGTCTGTTAAAGTGACGTTCTTCTAGGGTGCTTTGTGTCCAGATGCTTCTTTGAAGTGTGTGGCTTGATCAGGAGAAGGGTGGTCTGCTGCGCGGTGCGCAATCTGCAGGTAATTCACTCCTGATGACTTACAAAGCTCTGTGTTTAGGAAATGCTGGGCACCAGGCTCGTGTCTTCATTCCCACTTAGGAAGTTCCATAAGCACAATTGGCCTTGGTGCCTAGCTGTTTAGAGAATAAAAAGAGAGATGCACAGGAGGTATCCTGCCTGCATGACAAGGTTACATATTGAAGAGAACTGCAAAGGAAATGGTGTCCCTCTGTTAACGGCGTTAAATCGTTCCTGTGTGTACAGAGGTGGCTTTCTTGGGAGTTGCAGTCATTTTCCTGTTACAGAATTGTTTGTAGATGCTATGTGGGCCTTCGATTGGAGAATTACAAAACACTGTGGTATGCTAGCATCTCTGTTGAATGTTCAGTTGGGTGGACCGACACTTTTAATGAAGTCTGACAGTCTGGCTGTTTCGAATAACTCCTGTTTATCAACCGATCATATACAGCAAAAGGTTTAAAAAAATGAATGAACTGTCACCTGACTTTGATGTGGACTTGCACTTCACATTTCTTTACTGCTCTTCTCTCCCAGCTGGAATCCTCCAGTGCAGGAGGACCTGAGTTGGGCTAAACACTGCTTTGTTTGTTGATTTTGCTTTGAATGTGCAGGAACTGTTAAGAAGGGCAAAAAGACTTCTGCATAGCTCTAGTAAGGACATACACGTTCAGTGTTGCAGGCAGGTAACATGCATTTCTATCTTTGGACAAAATTTGTCTGAATCAAAAAGCCAAAAAGTTGGGGTTTATATGCTAGTGTTCCTTTTCATCTGCTGAAATTGAAAAACTTAACTCTTCAGATGACAATGTCTACATTAGCAAGTAGTGTGTCATGGTAGAAGTGCATCCAGAAAGCAAAACGGTACTGAGTACCTAGCATCCACATTATATGTGTTTTGGAGAAAGGCGGGTACTCTGGGTTTTCTCTGGCCTGGTCCAGTGGACTACTGCTTATTGATCGCTGATGCACGCCTTTTGGTTTAGTTTCATCCCCAAGAAATTTATTTTGTGTGCTCTGAGAGAACTCTGTAGCGCAAGCTGAAGTGTCATAGGTGTGGACAATCTGATCCGTTTCAAGAGCAAACTCCTAGTCCAAAGTAAAATACTGATTGCAGATAGATTCAATCAGGCTGAAAGGGACCTTAGAGGGTCTCACGCCCATATTCCTGTTCGAAGCAGGGTCCACTCTGAATTTGGACCAGGCTGCTGAGGGAGTTGTCCAGCCAAGTCTTGAAAACCTCTAAGAACAAAGATTCCACACCCTCTCTGGATCACCTCTTCCACTGCTAAATCATCCTCATAGCGAAGAACTTTTTCCTTATACCTGATCAGAACTTCTTCTTTCAGTTTATGCCCTGTAATATCTCATTCTCCTGTCTTATACCACTGTAAAGAGCCTGGCTCCATCATCTTGGTCACCTCTCCATAGGTACTGGGGGAGGCCGCTCATAAATTCCTCTTGAATCTGAACAAGCCTGTGTCACTCAGACTTCTCTCCTGGAGCAGATTCTCCAGCTTGTGACCATCCTTGTGGCTCTCTGCTGAACTTGCTCCAGGTTGTCAAAGACTGTCTCGTGTTCAGGTCCCTGAGGCACCCCAAATGTGGTCCAACAAGTGTGAAGTAAAGGGGAGTAATCACTTCTCTCAGTCTACTGGCTGTGCTCCTGTTGATACAGCCAATACATCCTATCGATGCTGTTTGTCTTCATCGCTACCAGGGTACACTGTTGGCTCATGTTTCACTTGATGTTCACCAGAACCCCCACATCCTTTTCTGCAGAGATGTTCTCCAGCCGGTCAGTCCCCCACCTGAACCACTGCAGGTGGTTAGTCCATCCTGGCTGCTGGACTTTGTATTTGTCCTCGTTGAATTTCATGAGTTTTCTGTGGCCCATTCCTCCTGCCTGTCAAGTTCCCTCTGAATGGCAGCTCTGCCCTGAAGTGTATCAACCATTTCCCCAATTTTCTCTCATCTACAACGTGATGGGGGAGTGTTCCAGCTCCTTCTGCTCAGCATTGGTAACGATAATAAGTTGGATAGGTCTTGTAGCACTCTGTGGTACTTCACTTGGAATCAGCCTCTAGGTTAGAGTATGAACTGTTAACCACCATCCTCAGACCCTGATGATCCAGCCAGTTTTGCCTGAAGCCCAGGGCCTGTGTTCTGCTACTTGCCTTCACTGCTCCACTGTTTCATGGTTGTTACAGCCAAGGCTGCCATTGATTATCATATCCCCAACAAATTCTTCCTTCTTCCTGAGTAGCAGATCTGAAAGATGACACCTGTAGTATCTGTGTGAAGAAATTTACCCCAACATCCTCTAGAAACCTTTGCAGGGTCCCTGAGGTGCCTGTGTTCATGTCCTGTTTATTCTCCATGATGCTATGGAGTCTGTTCACCTCCTCCCCCAGCTCCTTCTGCTGGTGACTCAGTGCCCCAAGCAGAGTGCATCTCCTGCTGTGAGGCGAGTGCCACCAGGCAGCTGGGGTCCTGGGTGGCAGCACCTTCCCTCTGGAGCTCAGCATGGGTGAAGGCCTCTGATTTCCCAGGGTGTCTTCTCCAGTGGGTGCTGGGGATGGAGCCTTGTGGTGCCCTCCCCCACCCCCCGGTCATGGCACAGTCCTGCATTATCTGAAGCAGACTCTTAGGGCCTGGTTTGCATCTGCCACCATGCAAACTGAGATGCTAATTTATGCCTCTGTTTGCTGCACCCTGTAGTGGGTGAGAACAGTTACTGAAAGTGTTTAAAGAAAATACCAACAGTATTACCTTCAACGTCTGTAAATTGGATGCTTAAACTGCCCTGACTGTGTTGATTTTGTGAAACGCGGGTGTGAGTGGACCAGATTACCGAATCGCCTGCATGCGTGGTACTGGGAAGTTACCTTAACTGGCAGTTACCGATGTTTGATAGATAGCATATTGTTTGCAGATTTAGGTGAGTGATATGTACCATTATCTCAGGATATCTCTTTGAAGAATGAGTTAGTATAAGGCTGTTGTTTTTTTAATTATGTCATAAATTACTTGGCTCTTGCCCTGAGGGATCTGTAGTCTATGCTAAAACACAGACAAGGAGTCTCTGTGAAACTTTAGAGAATGCTGCTGCTTCAGAGAGATCTGATTTTGCTAGCAGTTTATTATTTCAAGGCTTTTATTTCTTGTCTCAGACCGCACCAGTGAATCCCCAGGAGGGATGTGAATGGGACGTGTAGTACCTGGTGTGCAGCGTGAGTGCTGGGGGCACTCACGCTCATATTTTTTTACTCCATAATTTTTACTTTGCTGCCCAAACCAGAGCAGTTTGGGCAGCAAAGTAAAAATTTTGCAAATTAAAACAAGGAAAGTTGCAAGACTGAAAGTGGAGAGATTTGTAGGCTGACTGAAGGGTTAGAGGAATGTGTGACTGAAAAGAGTAAAGGTGCCTGGAGGTGATATGTGTGCAGCTTTAAGGCAGAGAAGTGGGTAACAAAATGACAGCGGTGATGTTCATGTAGTTTGAGTCCAGACTTGTGTTTTGCTTCTAGCATTATGTGCACTTAAAAAAAGGCAGTCTTAATGAGCTAAGTATGCTAGTGAGAGTTTAACCTGAATGCTAATATTTTTGGCAAAGGACACCACTCTTAAAGCCCTTTCTTAAATCTCTGTGCAAGAAATACAATTTTATCATCTCTTAATATTACACAATTCTCAGGAGCCCTAATGTATCGCTTTTAGTAATAACTCATAAATTATATAAGATCCTCATTTAACTGCTCTTCAGTTGGAAATAATAATTTGGAAGAAAGATGATTAGATATAGCAATTTATGAGAAATTAAATGACAACTTATTTGGTATAGCTGCTTATTTTCCATAGCTATTTTCTTAATGCCTTTTATATAACATGTAATTTTGTACAATTAATAAATACCAATAAAATCAGGCTAAAAGCAATGTCATGCCAGCTTTAGTCTATTCTCTTCCAATTTTGTCAGTGAGAAGTATTTTTGTTTGAATTTACTAGGAATGCATTGTCATCAGTTCTCTGTTGCAACACACTGAACGTTGTCCAACAGCTGCTACGTAATTTAGGTTTTTACTGGCTTAGCCTTGATTTTATTTTATTTTAAATGTATTTTCTGTATTCCATATCTAATACTCGCTTCCTTATCTTGCCTCGTATATATTGTTAATTGTTAGCAGTATTGATAATATCCTGGACACTGTCTGCTATAGAGTCCAGTTTGGTTTTGTTCTTGTAATAAAGGCTTTAGGTGTGCTTGCTTCTGTGAAAATAATTCTCATACATGATCAAAGAATGAAATTAGAATTTTACTTTTGTCTCACTCAGGATTTTTGTCTTTGTTTTCTGGACCTGATGTTTTGTGGGTTTAGCTTTTGGGAAAAATTGGACTAAAACCAGTCTGTTTAGAAAGAACTATATGTTACACAAAACAAGATATAAGTGTATTTCATTATTTTAGAGGTAGTTTCTTGGTGACATTTTCTGCTTTATTTAATTTGTCATTTCATAGTAATGAAATATTCTACTTTTTATTTATTTGCTTGCAGAACAAGAAGTTGTTCATCATGTATATAACA